ATACTACAGCGAGAATAAAAGTTACGCCTTCTTTCTTTGCGTGAACATTTGGGAGGCGTTATGCCAATCTTCCCACATCGTGACGTAGATATGTGGGGGCGTGTTAGAACGAGCTGTTTTAGGTAGGCGTGGCTGACTCTTAACTTACGAGAACTGCATTCTGTAACCGAACACACACTGTAAATTTTCAGCACTCCCTAACCACATTTTCAGCTAACCCCTGCTGTGTAAACAGAATTGGGCTGGACCATTACTTCTATCTAGCATGTGTTTTCGGGTTTTTATGTGTAGTTTTGTACCTTACAGGGACACAGATATATATTATCCAATCAGTCTTCCACCGGAGCTGCTCCCGTCAGTTTTGTAGTTTTGCTCTCGAATTAAATGCTATGCTCCACTCGAATTAAAGTTGTTGTCATTTAATAAAGATCTAGTGAATTAAAGAGGACCTATTGTGCAAAATTCACTTTTACATGCTGTTTGAACACTGATGTGTGTCCACAGTGTGTGTAAACAACCAGCCTATAATGGTAAAAACCACCCACTCCTTTTTTTACAATCTGCATATAAACCGATATATATATATATATTTCTTACCAAGATGTGACACAGAAAATACCTTGTAACTCCAAGTTTAACTGCAGTGTGGTGCTGTTGATGAATTAAGCAAATATTGCCATCCTGATTTCTGGCAGTAATAAGGAAGTGAATATTGCTGAGGGGTACAACATTCATTCAGTATACTGCTGTGGCACTCAACACCGCAGGCAAATAGATTACAATTAGTTGGGTGTAATGGCCCATAAGCCCCACTCTAAAGGCTGCTGGGAAACCTGCGGGATATACACGGATGGCATGATCTGAACGACAATGTGTGGGGGTGTCGATGAAATAGTGTTGCATACTTTAAAATTCAAATGCTCACACAATAAGTTGAGGGTCTGCAAGACACCATCGATTTCTGAGTATTTGTAATTCATTAGATTGTGGCATTGAATGTAATTTTCCTCCAACTGTTGCAAACTTGCTGACTGAGTTAAATCACATGCTGATAAACTAACAAACTAAAATGTGCAGTTGATGGTAATTCATTGTGCAACTGAATGCCAGGAGTGGATGATTCAAAAGTAAAATACTGCAAAAAATAAACAGTAAAAATATTTTAAAATAGTCAAGGTATGCATTACACACCATTTTGCACTAAATGTGATGGATGATGAAATAAGAATAATATTTTTAAGCACCAGTATAATAATTGACAGTAATATTTGGCTATAGTTATAAATATTTTCTCAATTTCCATGCAGAAATTTCCATTAACATTTTTAATGGTGACATTAATAAAACAATTAACCAGAGTTAGGTCTATAGAAACTGACAGCTTTATTGATTCATTCAAATAAATCCATCTTTACAACTCTAAAAGAATGTGTGCTACTAAAATTAATTTTAATGAATTAAGCAATAATCGACTAGAGGTGTTTTGACCAAGTATAAAAACAGCAATATGATAAACAATACCAATGTTCAGTAAATTAATGTATTAATTGCAATAATTGTAATCTACAACCTATAACCTATTTCATCTCAAGTCATTGCTACTGTAATGTCAAGAATCCAGATACAGTATGGCTGTTGCCTTAGAAAGCGTTTCCAATCCTAATTTAGAGTGGACATCAGAAACAAAGTTTCTGATACATTTTCAGGCATACTGGATAAAGAACCCCCACCCCCCTGTACACATTTGACCACTAAAGGAAACACCTATACAAAATACCATTAACCTGATGGATTGGATGGTAATAGGGTTAGAGGCGCACTCAAAATGCATAAGAGGGAAAGGTTGCACATCCACTGAAAATTATACATGGTAATGACTTTACTGAACTTCAGCTAATACACATAAAACCAAAGCAACAGAAAGAAACCATATACCCAACTTTCACACATTCCAATAACCAATTACGCTGTGGACTAAGCTACAGCAAACAGTTATCAACATCAGTCAAAAGCAAGTCTTGCATTAACCCTGTAAAGCCTGAAATAATAGTCAGATTTGTTTTAATTATAAATATATATATATATATATATATATATATATATATATATATATATATATATATATATATATATATATATAT